AATTCGCACGCAACGAAACGTCAATTGCTCAATAAATTAAGAAAAAAAATGTCAAATTTATTTGACTTTTTTTGTTATTGTTATCTGTGACACTCACTGTCACCGGAAAGCAGATGTATTGAAGATATTTCTGGTTAACCGCGAATGGTTTTTTTTACGAGAAGAAATTGATAAAAGACTGTAATTCTAAAACAACTGCAACCATGGATGATCAGGCTTGTCCCCGGTGTAAAACCACGAAATACAGGAATCCCTCATTGAAATTGATGGTAAATGTATGTGGTCACGCTTTGTGCGAAAGTTGCGTTGATTTGCTGTTTCTGAAAGGTAAATACTTTGAATCTAGCTTTTTGAAATTCTTTATTACCTTTTACAAAACATTAAAAATATTTTCACACATCCGTTACCATTTTTTCCATAAAAAATTAACTTTTTTTAAATGCAATTTTTCGGTTTCCAGGTTCTGGCTCCTGCCCCGATTGTAACGTACCATTACGAAGAAACAACTTCAGGGTTCAACTTTTTGAAGATGCCATGGTAGAAAAAGAAATCGACATTCGTAAACGCGTTCTTAAAGATTACAATAAGAAAGAAGAAGACTTTGCAACTTTAAGAGAGTATAACGACTATTTGGAAGAAATAGAAACGATAATATACAATTTGACTAATAATATAGATATTGTAGGTACAAATAAGAGGATTGAACAATATAAAAAGGATAATAAGGAGTTGATACTGAAAAATAAGGTCAAAATAGGTAAGATCAAGAGGTTCTCAAGCTGTTAAGGAGAATAAATGTTAAGGCATAGAATATTTTTAAATTCGGGAATTTTCAAGGCGAGTGTGTCCGCTCTTTCTGTGTGCTCCATCATCTACCTTCAACTCACTTTCCATGAGGTGAGATGGAGGTCAAAGGTGCACTTATGGCTTACAATAAAAAAATAATTTTAATTTTTAAAAAATAATTTAAAAACAGTTTAATGATAACAAATAATAATTTAATAATTTAAATAAACTTATTCCCTGACATACACTAATTTAATAGGGGCAACATGATAATTCTGCATTTTATTTTATTAAAAAAAGTTACTTTAGCTGTTTTTCTACGTGTGTGTGGACACTCTGTAATGTCAGTGAGAAGATAAAGTCTAAAGCACCATAAAGGATCTTAACAGGAGCTCATTTTTAAGTCTCAAAGTAACTAAGCACTATCAAAAAGTGGTAAATTATGAGATTATTGATGCCCTAAAGTGCTTTTAGCATTACAAAAGCTGGACATATTGATGCAGAAGTAAAATCCAAACAGATATATAAGACTAATTAATTTTACTCAGCGGGCTTTGGGCTTTTTATTATTGCATTGATGATATGATACTCAGACAACCAAATACCACTGTGTTAAGGAAAGGAAGATTTGTTTAGTTATGTTTAGTATAATAACTGTAACAATCACGCTTATTATTATAATCATCAATGATATAACCAGACAAAAAATTAAATGTTATTTAATTTGTTCGAATTCTGCTGAATCATTATGGTGCAACTGCACTCCGATTGACCAGCCCGAATTCGAATATTTAACATATCGACTCATCCGACGAAACAGAGTCCATGTGATTATATATCGATAAGAGAATAAGTACGTTACGAAAATAATTTCGTTATTCAAACTAAGGCCTATGTAAAGTTGTATGGAGAATTTATCTTATTTCGTTTTGGAAATATAAAATGTAACAAGATCCACAGCGAAGAAGAACGAACGAAATGTACTATGGTTCTGAGAACACGTAGTCTTGTACATAGATCTTTGTTCTACAGATGAGTCGATATTTAATATTTCATTACTGATGCAATTTGATTCTGTTTGTTTTGTAATTCGATGTTTTGCTGTTTTCCCACACCACTGAATGGAACAGCCCCCCTTAATTAGAGATGACATCTTTATTACAATAAATACAGAATGTTATTGGTATATAAGAGAAGTACACGTAGGTCAGTTGTTGGCGCTGTACTATTTCGGCTTTCGAATTAGTGATTTCAGTGCAAATGAGAGTTGATATTTAAAAGTGATATAAAGCTCATTTGCCTGTTGAGTTGCCAAGGATGGATGGACCTTATTTCGTCTCTATTTTTGGTTATATATAAGATGATTATAATATTGCATAACTATCTTAAGGCCAACAACAGAACTCTTGACCATTTAGATTATTTGTGTTGTAAGTATCACTTTTGCCTGGGGACATTTTATTAGGTATTTGTGATTACTGCATATTGGCAAATGAAACGTTTTTTCAAGTCTGAAATCGCGTATATTTGTTTTTCAAAAAAACCAACGTTTTGGGCCCTTTACACTTCTGTCAGATTGAATATTAGTTTATACACAATTTTCAATGTTAATATTTCGCTAATGTACTTTAAATTCTCTGTAATTAAATAAAAAATAAAACGAAAACTTCACAGGTCGGGAAGAATTAGAGCTAGAAGAAATCCTAGAAATCGAGAAACAAATGGAAGATTTACGGAGATCAGAAATAGCCCGTCTTGAGCAGGAAGCTAAAAAGCAAAAGATTCGCGAAAAAGAAGCATTCATTGATGAGCTTATGTTTACTGATGGAGATGCTAAGGATATACTGAACAGTTTTGCTCAAACAATTGCTAATAATAAGCAAGAAGAGATAATTCCCAATATCCCTAAGGTTTGTAGATGTAATCATATTGTAATAGATAAAAGGCTTTTTACCCTGTTAATTAGTTCTGTAACTGGTGACTATTGAACATCTTAAATTATGTTTTTGATGTGATGTTACATTACTTTGATAAATAATTTATTTATAAAAAGTACTTTTCTCATGTGAATAAAATTGCTGCTATTTTTAAATACATCTTCAAGATAGTGTAAGTGAATGTCCATAATTTTCTTTTCAGGCAACACAGTTTTCAACAGGTGTGAAATTTGGCCGTACAAACAACCAGCAAGTATTACCGATTGTCGAAGAAGGTCCGCTATACAAGTATGAGCCACCAATTATACCTGATAGATGTGGCCCTGAAGCGCCTACACTTGATGATATTGTTAACAATGGATACTTGCAACATGTTAGGTGAGTTTAATAAAATTGTATTATATCATAAGGTATGTCGACTATCTCTGCTTTATTGCACTTCATAGGTGTAATTGTTGTACAAGATTACTGATACATACATATTTCAAAAGTTACTTTCACATAATCCTTCCTCTGTATTTTTATATGTACAAATGTGTTTATACATAAGAGTATATAAATGCAAAGAATAAAATTGAGTTTTGAAAGACACACCCAGGAAGTTGTCGTTTGTATGACCTACTTCCTGAATAAGGCTGGCCACATACAGTCGGAATCCGAATCGGAATTCCGTAAGGGAATTTCTCAGGCGGCAAAACTACAAACCACGGACTTATAACACACATACTATTGCGTTCGAAATATTGTAAGATTCGAAATTCCGTATGGTCGTTTGTGCATTCAGCACGGAAAAAGCCGTTCCGAATGCAAGTCTTCCATACATTTTGTAGGGTCGCAACGCACAGGCGCAAATTCCGTACGTATTTTCGCTGTGAACACGTGGACTCAATGCCTCGCGTCTCTCAACTGAGTCTCGTTGTTCCGAACGGAAAGAAACGTATGTGTGTGATGTATATACGGAATCTGCAAACAGAATTGCGAAACGGAACTCCGACTATGCGGCAGGCCTATGTTTATTGGTCGCCCAAACCGATAATAATGCTATAGAAAAAAAAAATTGCTATGCATAGGCATAGAATAATTATAGAATTAAACCCAATCAATGTGTACAATTACACAATGATGAACAATATGTGCAAACATATATCTGAGATTTAAATTCAATTCTATGCTTACCCTTCTTGCTTTGTAACTGCGATTACTGTGGGTCTAGACCCACAAAAATATTTTATTGGGCTGGCATGTTCTCCGCCTGGGTAACCCTCTACGTCATATCGATGAGCGTTTGATCTTTAGATATGACCACCAACTACAACTCTAAACCTAGACTAGATGAGTGCGGACCATGCGAGATCCGCTTACATACACCTTTCATATTACAGGCAAGAAACTGAAACAGAGAAAGCCGGCGGCTATTCTTCCACGCTGCCATGTTTGCGCGCCTTGCAGGACGCTTTAGCGGGCCTATATCACGCCAGCTGACAAAGCGAGATACCGGACGAAGTGATAGAACTTGAGTAGTAGTATAGGGCCTTTTTCTTTTCAAGTGTGTTTTGATTAGCATCTGCTCAAGTGATCTGAAAGGACCACCATCATTTCAGCAAAACATTACAAAATTCAACTTAAATGATTGGGATAATGGCTCATTTGTATAAAATTATTACAATGATTGTTATAGTTACGTTAATGGAGACGCTACATGTACCTGTTATTTAAAAAGTGTTTTTATTGTTACGTGATGTGGGATTTTTTTTGCAAAAACACACAGCACGTCACGACTTTCACGTAAAATTGACAATGTATAGTTAAGAAAAAGGCTCGCAGTGACTACTCCCTTACTCTGGTTGTTGAATATAAACTTTTATTCGCATTAATCTATTATTTGTATTTTGAAATGATAATTTTTACTACATGGTATGATTATTGCGGACTCGATTTCGCTACAATAACCAGGGTTCGGTTATCACGATCTTTTTTGATCATTATCATGATAATTTTATCTGATAATTATCCATGTTCTTTCATAGTTTTGTCTGTTTAATTTTTGACTAAAATTGACAACCAGTGAGAAAACTAAATAAATACGAAGAAAAATCTTTGGGAAAACGATTTAGTAATTATCATTTCCTCTATGATGGCGACTAGCCTTGTGCCAGTGTCAGTTTTCAAAGAATAATACGAAAATTATGGCGATCATCGCCAGTGTCAGTGAATAGAAAAACCAAGGATTTAGTTCGTGATTTCTTTTGAGCTTGACATTTGATACGTTTTTTTTGTTAGTTTATCCTTCTAGGCAAAGGCAAAGGAGACTGAGTCCATACAGCTAATTGATATGTTTGAAGATGTACCTGATACAAATACATGGCACTACATTGGGCCGTTTGTTGGTCGACATTGCTAACTGTAGTATTTTGTTGTTCCAACAATTTTTTACATGTCAAGGTATATATATCAAGATAATTATCGTTATAATTATCAATGATAATTATTATTTTGAACCCCGGCAATAAAGTTTCGAACCCCGGCAATAAAGTTTCGAACCCCGGCAATAAAGCAGCCTGATAATAATTAATAATAATATTTTTACATTATAGCTAATATCCGCAAGGCCTATCAAACAACTAAATACAATTACAATAGTTCTTTATTGCCACAATGACATTTTTTGGACATAAATAACATGTTAATCCAAAAAATAAACTAACAAACGGTACGCCAAACATGTGAGAACGAAAAAAAAAACAGAAGAAAAACCAAGTCAAAGTGAAGTAAATACATATAATAAAGAAAAAACATCAATAGGTTACTCTGACCAATAACTACACATGAAAAATAACCACGACTTGGTAATGATATGATATTCTTCGTTGTAACTCAAATGTTGCGTGTGTGATGTGACTCTAAGAATAAGTCAGTATTCAATTGAATATTTGTTGGTATTTTTGTTACAGATGATTGTAAATAGTTTTCTTGTAGGAATATAGCCATAGCCACTAAAGCAGTGTAAATAGTACTGAATATGCAGTGGTGAAATCTAGACTAAAGAGTTCCATTTTAAATTTGAAATTGTGTGTGTTTTCCTTAGGGGTGGACCCCACTTGCTGAAAATGCTGTTTTGTATGTAATTTCGCTCTGAAACCAAACCCTCCCTCCATGTGGTGGCATTTCCAAAATAATGTGAGGTACAAATTGGTAGGTACGTATAAAGGTGTACCCTAATCTGATGACAAATTAGGAAATGGAACTACCATTCTATTACTATTACTATTATGTTATATGTTACTTTCCGTTTATTTTCTCTAATGTTTCGACTGAAGTACTTGAACCCGAGATCATGAAAAAAAATAATTGGAATAACTATGTTAACAGGAAACATGAACTTTTTTTAATAATGCAATATTATTCCTATTAATTATTTTAGAGCTTAATTGGATAATAGATAATTAATTACCATACGTTTTTTGCAACCTGTTTAAATAACGTTAGCTGAGTTCGTAAATCTCGTAACTCCATTATTGTGAACTTCTGAGTAGGCACAAAAAAACAGAAACACCTACCTACTAGAAAATAATTTTATATGACAATCTGTAAGGCTAGAAATTATATTAGTTACCCGATGTTGCGCTTGAACAGTAAAAAGGGACAAGAAATATTTTTTTTATATTGTAAATGAGGGAATTTGGGTAAACAAGTTAACAGGTTGAACGAGATAAATATTTAAAGTGGCAAACGAGTAGTTGATATCTAATCCGAATGTGTAAAAGGAATCGCATCTAAACATAAGAAAAAAAAATTGTGATATTTTACAAATACCACCGCACTCTTTATTTGGGCTACTCTATGAAACAGAACGGCTGAGCGGTAGGAAATTGACCTCCGCGTGTCAAGTCTTCTACTACTTAAAGAGTACTATTAAAATTCAATTTTCGCTTCATTTAAAGCGTCCGTAGAGGCCGGTAAGGGTAGCGGGCACTCGCTGCATGTTCGTCTTTCGCAGAGTACTACAAAATGTTAGAAGCAGTATTTTCCTTAGAGAAAAATATTTAAAAATAAGATAGTGCTTTTTTACGTATTCGGTATGGGTATCAGCTGATGTATTGCTAAACATGCGCCTCTTTAAATATTTATCTCGTTCAACCGGTCACCTGTATAGAATAAAATTGAAACTGTCAAAACTATTCACTCGTAGCATTATATCTGAGATTAATATCATCTTACTTACTTTACATGAATTTTGTGTCATGAGATTACGGTAGACCTAGAATTGTAATTAATTGTTAATATTAATGTGTTTTCATGGGTAAGTAGCTGTGATCGTAATATGAGTCCTGTGAATTGTTTGTTGCCTTGTCTTAATAATAAAATTTGCATTAAATTGTACTTCATTTTCATTTGCCTACCAAATCTTCATTTTCGTTTGATCTATGACAATCTCATCTACAATCTCAGTGCCGCTTTACCTCTGGTGCAAGGTGTGTGGCGAACAAGGCCGCAAGGGCTTAGGGTGCGCCGTGCACTGCTAGTGCCGCCTTAAGTCGACGCCTCAAGCGAAATAAACGTCATTTATAACATCTCAACATCATTTATAATTGCACCATTTGCACCCAAACTTCCGATCACTGAGGAAAATATAAACCATTTAGCAATTAAACAATTTTCACACACATAACAAAAAAAAAATACGTACAGAAATTAGAAAAAATTTTTTTTTTACAATTTACAGAAATAATTAACTGTAACAATTATAAAAAATATCAAAATAAAAAGAATTAAATCATGTGTGTGACGGACACGAGCTTAGGAAAATGTTGAAATCAGTTTGCAATGAATTCAACCCTGAGTTTCAGTCGGACCCGGCCATGGCAGCTCTACGTGGTCGATCACACATGAAAATTGCAAACAAACTACGATTGAAGATAACTGCAAGTATTCCAATTTGATCGTGTACCTACTTGAGGACGCCAGGGTTTTTATTGTACAACCTTATACGAATCTATATAATATTTCGAATACACTGTGTGCTATAATAATAATAATTAATCAGTACTGAGTACTAAAAACCCGACCTCAAAACTACGTGGAATTACATCTGTCTAGTTTTACTGAAATCCGTTACCGGAAAGTGCGCGAAACCGGATTTGTCTCCTGGTTTGCCACCCTCAGAGGTGGAATAGGATAGATAGGAGGAAAAGGATATTTTCTTAAAATTAAAAGGGGATACTACTGAGGTAGCCTCTTTCCAGCAAAAAATGAATCATCATAATTAATTCACAAATTTTCGGAAAAATCGGAGTTATCGCGTAGCATACATAAAAAAGTACCGTCAAATGAGAACCTCCTTTTTTTTGAAGTCGGTTAACGTAAATTTAACGCAAGAAGTTATAATATTTTCCGGTAGATATAGTTTATTCCGGAAGAATTAGGAATTAAAGAACTTAGAATAATAAAATTACATTAATACAATAACATTTGACAGTAATAAGTAGGTTCCGTATGTAGGTAACCGTAGTTTGTACAAACCTACGTAGTATGACAACCAAATTTTACTGGTTCAAGTTTCTCGTTTTCATGTCCAATTAGGCACAATTAGTTGAACTTTATGTACATGGTGCTAGAGAACTATTTCCTCCGAAAGCTTTCCGTGCTTTTCTATTTCTTAAACACAAGTTCGTGTCCGTCGATACAAACGTGCGTGAGTACAAATATTGTCCTAGCGATAACGCGTTAAAGCGCCGCGCGCCGGCCGGCGCACTAAGGTATGACAAATAAATGCACTTTATGTGTTGAAAGTAAACATGCATTTGTGGGCCATTCTGTTCGGAAAGCTAGATGTGAGCTTTTGAACTCGTTGTAGGGATTTGAAATGATCATTTTGAAAGTGCTATTGTTCGTAAAATGTACAAATAGTAATTGTATTTTATTGTGCCAAAGTGTGCGTCAAGGACAGCGCTTTCTATTTCTGATGCCAAGGAGTAATTTGTTTCATTACTGCGTTTCGATTTTGAAGGGTGAGGCTGCTAGTGAATTTACAGACTCATGCGACTTGTCAACGGAACAGACGCAGTGGCAGTGCCCCTCAGATTTTTGTGATTTGAAGCTCTGAAAGGCACTGCAACTTTTATGGACAGGCGTGCCGCTTTAAAACGTAAAGATATAAGGGGCACTGCCCCTGCGCCCTTTACCCTGAGACATAAGTTGACAAGTCCGAAGTGTCTGTAATTTCACGAGCACCCTTACTCTTCAAAACCGAAACGCAGCTAATGCTCACATTACTGCTTGGCGGCTGAAATCGGTCAGATGGCAGAACTTCATTGGACGAACTCTTTCACAAGGAGCTCTACTGTTTCTAAATTTTACCCTTTCGAGTGTTGTTTTTTCATTTGATCGGTTCTATTCCCACGTGAGGCAAGAACCTTTTAAAAATCTTTGAATGCAGCATTTCTTACTGTTAAAACTAAAATAATGACTCCATGGAGCAAGACATCCTATCTACAATATTTCAAGTACTTTCTCTATATGTCCCATAGTCGTGAGACGTCCTGTATATAAAAAAAGTAAGCAGTAAGCCACTAGGCAGGTATTACATAAATAACATCACATAATATGTTGCTCCCAAAGTAAGTATCTAAAGCCCTCGTGTTATGTAAATCGGAGACAACGATGGTACCACAAACATCCAGCCCTGAGATAATATAGAAAAGTTCGTTTTCTAAACTAATCAGCCAGGTATCGAACCCGGGACCTCAGAGATTGCGACACCATGAAAATCGGTGTGCAAGCCACTCGACCACGAAATTCGACAAATAGGTACGTATTTAGTTAGGTACCTATAAAATAAACACATGGAAATATTAGAGTTGTGTGTATAATATATTTTCAGTGCAGTTACAACTCATAATTTGGTATTTACATAAAACGAACCCTATAGCTCAAATTACAATATGCGCCGGAATATCCACTTACAATCATTGTCTGGACGCTATTGTTTGGCGGTTGAATCAAAATCAAAATGGCCGACATCAAATATGGCAGCGAACGGTTATTGTTCAAACGTCGATCAGACATGAGAAATTATGCGGAGCTGCCGGAGCTATATCGACTAAGTTTATAAGACAATGTACTAATTTGATCAGAGAATCACAAGCTGGGTAGGCAGGAGGCACTTTTTTATATAGTAATCATTATGTCCCATTGCTGGACAAATGCCTTCCATATTTCCTTTCACAGTTCCATCTACTACCAACTTGGTACTACTTAATGAATATGAACAAAAATCAAAATACGTAGGGCGTACTATAAGTTTCCGGAACTGGTCACTTACATAAACAATATTTAAAAAGTAATTACAACATTTGAAAATGGAACTCTTTGGCTGTAGAATACAGTTTGGTTCATCTGACTGTTACTTGTTTTTACATAGTGGCATCATTTTAGAAATTGGTTGTCTACATCACCATGGATTTAACCATTATATCTATGGATTTAACTCGTGAAAATTTTCGTAGTATGATTTTCTACG